TTAATAGCATTCTTATCACTTCTCAGCTTTAAAATGCACAACACAACACGCCATTTTAACAGTAGCCTAATCAGCTAAAATCAAGCCCCGCCAATTTTGCTCTACTCTCGAATGCTAAATGCAACAGTCGCTGCTTGAGGCACGATTTGTACTGAGCTATAAGAAATGCTAATGAGCGCCTAATAAAAACCGTAATTTTGCTGTAGGGCAAAATAATGAAAAATTATCGGCAGACAGGCGGAGGGAGAGACGCGATGGCATACTGACAAAACAGCCAAGCGGTCAAGCGAAAGTTGTGAGCAGCGCCAACTAAATACATAGACAATGCAAAGGGACGTACTGACGGCGATAACCAAGTGGCTGACGGCAGGCAGATGTGCGGAAAAATTTTGCTTGATTTGCAATTTTTTTCTTCTTAGTTTTAGAATTTATTGTTTTGCTTTTGAAAAGCGAGTGGCGGTAAAATATACAAAGCGGCAGGCGTACAGCGTACGAACAGTTTGGCAGCAGACATGTGTTCTGTACTATTTAGATACATATCGACGGGCGGTTGTCGGCGGTGTTATGTAGGGCTAAGTGCCCAAAACAAGTGTAATGTAACGAGACAGGAATGCTTGAATGAGGAGATACATACTTACAGAGATGCATACAGTGGTGGAAAAATAAATAGAGGCACGACATATCAACAAATTGTTCCTATTTTTCATTTGTTTATTTAATATTTATTATTTTTTTATGAAAGTATAGCTCATTATCTAACAAAAACTGTATAAATTCATATTTCCAACTTACAAAAATTCTGTAAACTTGCATCTAAATTTCAAACTTTGGAATTTTTTTGACTATGCAGTTTTATAACCCACTAAATTTCGGTAGAATAAAGTACAAGTTTGAACTTCCTAAGAAGTCGCTTGATCATTTTTATTTTGAACGTATTACTTTTTTCCATACAAAAAAAAAAACTGTCGAACATACTTTGTACGGAAGGAAAAGCGTAAAAAAAATCCAAAAATCAACACGATTTTTCAGCAACTTAAAACTTACACTTCATTATACCAAAATTTAATGGGCTAGAAAACTGCATACTCAAAAAAGTTTTGCAGAATTATTGTAATTTTAGCACAAAGTTTGAAATGTGAATTTATATAGTTTTTGTTAGATAATGAGCTATAATTTTATAAAAAAAAAAAAATTATAAATATTAAATAAACGCAAGAAAAATAGGTGAAATTTTAAAAAAATTTGCTGTCCCTATTTATTTTTCCATCACTGTATATGAGCAGTTTCAAAGTGGCGCGTTGCAACGAGAAACGATATGAGAATTTTTATTTTTGTACAAGTTTGACTGGGTCTGAGAATAAAATACTGCATCAGAGCGGGCTTAGAAAGGGAAAGGAGCGGGTGACAATGTTTAATTATAATAAATACACAGTATGTTAGTGTTTGGCCGAGCTTCTCCTCCTCCGAATGTTTGATCGTTCAATAAACATGATCGATGTTGTGAATGAGTTGTGTGCTGATAAGATTTTTTTTTTACATCAATTGAGCATTGCAAGAGGAAAATAAATTTAATTTTTTTTACAATTGACAATTGATAACGAATGAATGACTAAACGATCACACGAAATACACATACGGCCATTCCAAATGAAACGCAAAAAGCTTGGAACATATTTTTGAACAAATTCTAATAAAGAATAAATAGAAACACATCGCTCTGAGAAATTCGTCGGAAGAAAGTTCGCTGCCAAAATTAAAACACCCTGCAGTATATGAGATTGCACACAACCAAAGCGTCGACGAAGTTCGTCTGACGAAATTCGGCAAGAATAATTTATTTTTAATTTATGTTTTAATTTTCATATTTTCATATTTGAAAAATGCAGTTTTTATTGCACTTACGAATATCGTCAAGTTGGAATAAAACAGAAAATTTCATAACTGTGAAAGCTGTAAAATTTTTTCGGAAATATCATTTCCAGTAATTGGCTTTAAAAGCAGCTGCGTCTACAAAATGAGAATATTCCATATATATTCCAAACAACCCCACATCCGCACCTTGCATTTGAATGAATGCAATGAATACAAACGAATTGAGTGAAAAATGGAAATGTTTCAAAAGAGCTTACTCATTGAATGAGTATCATCAATAAGTGTATACAACACACAAAAATCTTGAATTGTCTCTATTTATATACATATAGTAAATCATCAAAAGATCAACCGCCGGCAATAAATTTAGCAGGGTCATTTTGCCAAGCTTGCCAAATTTGGTAAAGTGGGAGACATTAAAGAATACTTAATTAAGTGTGTACATATGCATTCGTTTGTGTGCATATATGTATGTATGTACATTAGGGTGGTTCAAAAATATTTGGGGGGGGAGGGGGCGTATCGAAATTGTTGGAGTTTTTGTGGTTTTTGGGGGACCTATAAAAATTAGTTAATATTAAAAAATGGTTAAATAAATAATTGGGTATTATTATAGAAAGTCTCCAAAAGAGAAACAGAGTTTTTCGATCGAAAAATATTGATTATCAATAATTATTTGCCATTTCTACGAAAAATAGTTTTTCCCCACACAAAATAATTTTTTTTTTTTTTTTCAAAATTAAAAACAGGGTACACATTTTTTCGGTATAGAAAAATTTTAGGGGTGAAGCAATCAAATACTGACTTCACCTTTTTTTTTGACCACCCTAACGCACATACACAAAGTACCTAAACAACACATTTTTAGACTTGCTATAAGTAAATGCCTACAGATATTCCTTGCACTGAAAAATGTATGCAAACGTCAATTTATAAAGCCTTTTAAACCTACATTATTTTTTATGAATAAGGCCATATCCCTACTAAAATATAAACGATTTCAATCAAGAATGCACTCGTGCTACTTCATTTAGCTACTCATGGAGTTTAAGAAAGCTTAGGGTCAACACGGAATCTTCAATGCATTTTCAAAATTTCTATTCTAAATATTCATAAATTATAACTAATCGTCAGTCAGCCCGCTGCACGGTTATCGCGCGAGTCTCAAGCACAGCCAGTTACATTTTAAATTAGCATAGTCCGTACTTGTAAATTTGCACAACCCATCAACAAGTAAGTCAACAAAAGATTCACTCAATAACAGCCAATTCTAACGCCCCAGCAATGTGTCAAACAGGTGATTAAATAAAAATAAAACGCGTTTGTTTATATTTGTCAGTGTTTGTCATCAGCAAACAACACAAAAACGACCAAAAATATTTAAAACAAGAAAATATCGATTATGTACTTTGAATATAAACAAATTTTTCCTTAAATGTTAATAAACTTTGAACGATGTCGCTGCTGAGCTTTTGTAGCGCTCACTAACTCTCTCAATCGTTTTTTTGTTTTCGTTTTTTGTTTTTGATTTTTTCAATGATTGAATCACAAAGCCGCAGCGCATTACAACAGAGTTTCCAAAGGCATTTATGCAAAACTCAACGGTGATAATTTGCTTTAGACAAATATGAGTTATGAGTTTGTATAGCCATTTGCTTATTAATTTTTGGCATTGAAATGCGGCACTTGGCGCCGGCGTTTGTTTATTAGAATGCCATTTATGTTACACACATTGGCGTGGCAAAAAATAAAAAATAAATAAAAGAAATGAAATTGCATATGGAGGGCCTAATTCGCGCGCACGAAAATAGCTATCAACAAATTGGCATCGTTGTTATGTTTATTTATTGGAAATTTTTGACAGCAGCTGACCTTTCGACAGGCACGAGACTGGGGGGCAGCGATCATTCGACGAGTTGGGTAGTAACAAGGCCATTGACGCAATTTTTATTTTTATTTTTTTCGCTAATCACAAAGCGGCGCTATGATAGCAGCGAATGAATGCTCGCCCATATTGATTGACATTGTTAACGGATTTTGATTTATTTTATATTTATATGCAAATTAGCAATTGCCAATAGAAAGCGATGGTTAGAGAAAGAAGTGATAAATGTCATAATGATTTATAAGGGTATAATAAATCTATCATTCGTGTGTGAACTGCCGCAGTTTTTATTATTGAACGCTTGTTTGTTTAAGGTTTTGCAATCATTAATTATAGGTATATAATGGAGAAAAAAAACTATTTATAATAGGATATGCGTTATATCAACGCAAAAAGTCCTATTTGAAAAAATTTCACCGTTACGAAAGAAGCAAAAAACTTAAATTCAGAAAGGAAATGCCTACAGAGCTGTTTCTACGATATGGCTTTGAATTCTCGAATAACGATGTAATTGAGAGTCAACTAACGAAATATGCACTCAGAAAAAACACCATCTCTCAAACAAAGAAAAACTTTCCATATTTTTAGCTCTGTCAAAATCTCGAAAAATTCTCCCGAATGAGTAATTTTTCTTTGAAATGTGTAAAAGCGACAAGAAAATATGCAACCGTGGTGTTCATTTTGATGTAAGCTATTTCCTTATTATTTTAGATTCGATGCCACTATTGCCACTCATTTGTGATTTCGATCAGATTGAAAATATCCAAACTACACAAAAATACATTCAGGAGCATTAACAAAGTATTATAACAGCCCTTATTTCACAGTCATACATTTAAAACTGTCTTATGTTTGCAAGAATCCCTTTAAAAAGATTTATGACATTGGGAAGGTTCAGAAGGCGCAGCAGTTGAGCGCAACCGTTGCTAAAAAAAATCAGTGATCGTAATGCGTCTTCTGAACGGCTTGATATATTAGCTGTCAAATTCAAAACACACAACATGTTGTTTCAAATGATCAGAAAAATATTACGATCATCTAACACGCAACTGTTGAGTTGATCAGAAGTACGAAACAACGCGTTCAGAAGGTGCAATCGCAACAGATACTGAGCTGTTGCGCCTTCTGAACGTGCCCAATATAACTTGTTATGACATCCTGTGAATCACTGTAATATATGCATATGTATGGAGTTCCCTGCTCCGAATCTCCCACTTTGTTTTCTAACGTGCTTAAATTAACGCAGTTGGTAACTCTTTATTTCATCGTTTACTCTTTTTCTCTTTCGCAAGAATAGTAGGCTTCGCTATTCTTCTTCTTGATAATATTGTTTGCTGTTTCGGTTCGCGTGTTAAGATAAAAAATAAAAGTAAAATGGATGAATTGGAAGAAATTTTAATAAAATTGAATGGCGAAATGTTCCTTAGCCTCTTTCGCGGTAAGTTAATAGTATATTTGCAGTTTATGTATCTGTTTTTGTGAATGTTTAATTGGTTTTAATTTAGAGGGCGGTTTTACTAGGGAATCAATGATGCTGCTCAAACCAAGTCATTTGGATACCCTCATCGATGCGGCGCAATTTGGACCAAGGATAATATTTGAGCATAATCTTCTTAATTGGCAAACCGAACAGGTAAGCTGTGGAATGTGCACATGTACATGCATACAAAAGCGCTAACCGCTTTCTTCTATTTACAAGGGCGTTCATGTGCAAACAGCTCAAAGTGACGAGGGCGCATCATTCGCAAATGCAAGTATTGCAGAGGTAGAACTTATTTATAAACACAAACACGTATGTACGCTTTGGTGACTGAAACTAAATCTATTTTCGTTACATTTCATACATATAGAAAACACTCGAAGAAATTTTAAGGGGATCGGTTAGTGGAAGTCAAGTTTTGAAGTACTACAGTAAGACAAAAGTTCTTACGCCAAAATACAGAAAATTGCTTGCAGCAACAATCGCAAACTATTTGATTTCTTCCGGAGTAAACTCGAGCCCAAAAACATTTGAATCGTTCGCCAGCCAGATATCGAATTTCTTTTTAAGTGAGTCGAAGGTACGTCGCCACATTTGCCATTGTTATTTCAGAAGCAATTCAAACTGCCACGCTTCTTTTAGGACATATATTACATACATAAAAAGGGGAAAAAACCAGGCGGATGTTTATACACTAAATACCACAGCACTTTATTCAAATGTAGACAGGACGGCATTATAAATAAAAAGCCCGCCGAAGAGAAGCCGCAAAAAGCAGCACATAGCAATTTATGTACGACAGGTAAAGATCTACTTTACAAACAGTGAGCGTCAAAAATAAGTAAAAATTTTCCTTATTTTTTTATAAAAGTATAGTTTATTCACAGGAAAAACCACATGAATAAATTTATTAATTTGATACAGAACTCGGGGAAAATTAGGGAAATTTTAATCAAAATTTTAAACTTTTCAATTCGATTCCTCAGAAAAATTGTTCTAGGAAATCAATTTGAAAAGTTGGTGCGTTTATAATTTTGAGATTGAGTTTAGATTCGAATTAAAAAAAAAAAATTATTTTCATAGACTACACTCAAGAAAAATCGTGGCTTAAGTATAACGTCGAGCCTTTTGATGAAGTGCAAATCAAATGGGAATTGACTTTTGAAGTAAGGTGCCAAATGCTGCAAGATGATTCAAATCTAAATAAAATTTTAGAAGAATGGCCCCTATATAAGCAGAGTTTTGGACATTTATTGGTATAACTCGTAATATATTGCGTGCTTATTTTGAAATTAATTTATAATTGAGTAAGGCCAAGTTCAAGTTATCCTGTAAATGTCATTAACATAAAAAATATACGAATTTCTCCAAGTGAAATATTCCAGTATTACTTCTCTGGGCTTTACTCAACTAAATGAATATTTTAAATGATATAATGGGTAATTAACTAATGTTTGATTGATAGATTGAGACGGACTTTAACAAATTGTACCCAGAGAAGAAAAATTTATTATTCGAAAAGTGGGAAAATTTCAGCCAAGCAGTACGCCATATTTTTGAGATTTATATTAAAGATTCACACAGTTTGACAACCTGGAAGCAATTTAAGGAAGGAACGATTAAAGCTGGTATTTAAATTTTATAATAATCTAAATTATTTATTGATGAATTTTTGAATTTTAGAAGGTACGGATGCGGTCACATGCTATCTTCTACATTCTGTTTTAGTTCCAACCAGCCGAGAATACAAAACGTGCAAGCAAACAAAAAAGCAACATTTGGTCAAAGCCACTATTGAAGATTCCAGAAACAGTTTTTTAATATGGGCAACAACTAATTGTGAACTTCAATCAAAACTGAAATTAATGGTTGATGAGAATTATAAGGGCAAAAGCACCATTCAGCCCATCATATGTGCTATTGGAATGAGCTTGTTTGAGAGCAACGAATATTTCGTGTACTTCGCCAACATATTTTATAAGTTCGATAATGTTATCAAATGTATTGATGTGTGTTTTAAGATATTCCACGTACTTAATCTTAAATATCCTTCCGAATGCAAATCTATTTGGTTTTTTGTCCAGCAATACTTTTATGACATTGCTTTGGAATCACACGAGAAAAGTACCTCATTGTGTGCAATATTAAGTGATTTAAAACAATTTAAATGTTTTAATAATAACTAAAAATGGAAGGACAAATTAAATGTTTTGTGTGCACACAATCTTTTGAACAATGCGATCGTTTATTTAAACATTTCAAAATTATTCATTGTTTATCACAATATGATATGTACAAATGTGGATTTACAGCTTGTAACCAATCATTTACGAATTTTAAATCACTTTGTAGACACATGCGAAATGAACGCAAAAGATATGAAATTACTTTATTAAGCAATCAAAATGTAAACGACGAATGTTTATCTAATACTACTTCAATGGCACCTAATACTATAATAACAGATACTGGTAATCAAAGTACAAATACTTTAAGTAACATAACAAGTTTAAATGTAAATGAAGAAACTTTAAAAGAAGGTTGCATTAAATTGTCTATGAAACAATATGCAAAAATAAATTGTCCTAGAAAAGAAACCGTTGAGTTGCAAAGAGATGTTACAAACATGATTTTGTGTCCATTAAAAAACCAATTAAAAAAAATATTGCAAAATTTCGATTCGCTAGGAAAAGACGATATTAAAGCTGATATTGAAAATTTAGTAAATATTTGTAGCGATCCATTTAAAGACTTTAACTCAGAGTATAAGTTTATTAAAACTCTTAAAGAACTAAATTTATACGAAAGTCCACAAGTCATCACCATAAATAATTCAATAAGTAACTTGCAAACTAGACATGTAAACAAATTAAATGCAGCATTAGTAAGGGGTGTGTTATTTCCAATTAAATTTCAAATAAAAAAATTTTTTGAATTGCCAGGCATGTACGAAAATTTTTCTAAAAGTCTTGAATACTTAACCACCAATAACGAAGTTTTAAAAAATTTTGTAAATGGCGATATTTGGCAAAAAAAAATTCAAAATTATAAAAACAAGTTAGTTATTCCATATTTTCTATACTTCGATGACTTCGAAGTTAACAATCCCTTAGGTTCACATAGTTCATCAGTTTTAGCAGTATATTATTCCTTCCCCACCGCGCCAATTTCTGTTAAACATAAACTTCAAAGTATTTTGATAGCCGCTCTTTTTAAATCACAAGATGTTAAACAATTCGGTAATGATAAATCATTTTATAAGTTAGTAGAAATACTAAATGACTTAGAAAATAATGGTATTGAAATTAAAACACCAAACGGCAATAAAAGAATTTATTTATGTTTAGGTTTGATAATTGGAGATAATTTAGCGCTTAACAATATTCTTGGATTTTCTCGTTCATTTTCTTCTAACCATTATTGTCGATTTTGTAAAATAAATAAAACCGATGCCAAATTCGCTTTTATTGAAGATAATAGCCAATTAAGAGATCAACAAAACTACGCTTACGATATTTCTTTGAACGATTTCGAAAATACTGGCATAAGAGAGTTTTCCATTTTTAATAATGTCAATAATTTCCACGTAGTAGAAAATTTCTCTGTTGATTTACTTCATGACATCTTTGAAGGCGTTTTTAAATACGGTTTTTGTAATATAATCTTACATTATATTCATAAAAAGATATTTGATCTAGAATTTTTAAACACTCGTAAACAAACATTTGCGTATGGTGAGACTGAAATGGGAAATTTGTCACCACCATTGCAGATGCATCATTTAAAAACGTTCAAGCTAAAATTATCGGGAAGGGAAATGTTAACGTTCGCTCACTTTTTCCCTTTACTTATTGGAGACGCAGTAAATGAAGATGATAACTTGTGGAAATTCGTGTTAAACCTTATAGAGCTTTTAGATTTATTAGTTTTGTCTGAATATACTAAATCAGATATAGAGAATTTAAGAGAACATATTCAATTCCACAACAAAGAATATACTAAAAATTTTAATGACACTCTAAAACCAAAGCACCACCTCCTTAACCACTATTGTAGAGTTCTTCAAATGTCAGGCCCCCTAAAATATTTGTGGACGCTACCTTTTGAATCCAAACATAGACAATTAAAGTCATATTCGAAAAATATTACTTCCCGAAGAAACTTAACATTAACTTTGGCTTTGAAATTTTGCATGACCTTTTCTGAAACAATTGTTAATTATAAGAACGTTACTTATACATTAGGCAGCGAAGAATATGAAGCGAAATTTTCAAAATATTTTAATAAAATCAGAGATGTACTTTCTGAAGACAATATTAACCATTGCATGTGCCACACAAGTTTTAAACTATATGGCACAATGTATAAAAAAGATTACTTTATATTTTTTTACAATCCAACTTTTGTATCATACCAAGTATTGGAAATTCTTGTTATAAATGACGAAGTATTTTTGTTTTGTGAATTAATAAATATTTTAATGTACAAACGCCACTATTTGTCTTATCAGATAGGTTCTAAAAGCACTATCTTTAAAATTATAAACACTAATGAATTAAAATATCCGCCGATTCATATGTACATGGTAAAAAATCAAAAATTTTTGCGACCAAAAGTCTTCTTTTAATGATAAAAGCCTTAATAAAGATTTGTTTCATGAAAAACTAACATTTATGAGTGTTTTATTAAATTAGTTGAAAATAGAATATTATCCTTAATAAGAAGAAAAAATATACTTATTTTTTGGTAAAATATTCTTTATTTTAAATAAAAAATTTACTCCAATTGTATTATAGGTTCTATATTTTAAACATTTTTTTCTCTACAACAAAGAAATATTTTTTCCTCATTTTGAAGAAATGTTGGGCATGCGAATGAGGATAAGACTCCTTTAGTGCTGTTTCGTTCCCATTTTTCTTCATTTTGATTGCTGTTTTTCTTCAATTAAGAGAAGTTTTTTTTTGAGTGTGAGCATATCTAAAAAAAAAGCACCTTTCCCAAAACATATTAGACAGGACCTTTTGTTTTGAAGATGACGACAAATAATAAAAGGACATGTACTTATTTATTTGAATTAAATAAAATTTATCTTTTATAAATTTGTTATGTATATTCGTTATTTTAAGTATTATTAAAGTCAATACATACATTTGAAACTTTATGCCTATGATGACTTCAGCAATCAACAATTTTGTTGTTTGACATTTATGAGACGTACAGATTCTTTTAAGGCAATGTTAAACATTTATAAACAAACATGAAAATAAAAATCAAAATGCAAAACAAACAAAAAATCAAAATAAGAATCAAATTAAAAACAAGAAGAATTAAACAAATAATTGAACACAAAAGAGTTTAAAATAAAAAAAAAGTTAAATCAAATTGAAAGAAACCCGAAATGGAAATAAAAAATTTAAAAGAAATTTAAAACCCAAATAAAAAAATCATAAAATATCTACACAAAAAATGTGTAAAATTTATATTAATAAAAATTAAATTAAAAGCTTAAAAACCTATAAAACCGTATAAGATTGAACTATATTGACAAAAAAAAAAGAAAAAACAAAAAATAAAATGCAGCAAAATAAATAACTGAAAATTAAACATAAAATCAAGACAAATAATATTAAAAAAAAA